TGCTGAGAGTAACAGGCAGGGCCACTAAGATCTGGGGCGTGTGCAGAGAACAGAGGGTCCTCTCTGAAGTGCCTGTGGCACAGCACTGCAGGGGGGAGTCTGGGCTGCAGATCTCTGGTCACAAAGCCTCCCCTGCAGCTGCAGCAAGACTGCACAGGCCGGAGCCAGCCCCCACACGAGGCTGCCTGCATGAGCAGAGAGCTTCACTAGGCTGTTCCTCTGTGCGAGCCATCAGCTGGGTCCTCCTCACCTTCCCTGTAACCGCAGGGCGTGGAGCGCATTGACGAGCCGGGCCTGCGGAGCCTGCGCACCGCACGGCACCTGGAGCCAGGCATGGTGCTCACGGTGGAGCCGGGCATTTATTTCATCGACCACCTCCTGGACGAGGCTCTGGCTGACCCGGCGCGCGCCTGCTTCTTTAACCGCGAGGTCCTACAGCGCTTTCGCGGGTTTGGTGGGGTGAGTACCAATCAATGCCCCCCCCACCATTGCTGCATGTTACCTTTGTCCCAGGACAGGAGCCCTAGTGGGGAGGGACAGTCTTGACTTCCCCAGTTGGGAAGGACCTGGCCTGCCCTTTCTCATGGTCTGTCACTGGACAGGTGCCTCACCCTCAACAGAAGAGACAAATTCTACAAACCCCCTGCCCACTCCAGGGGTTCTCTCCACCTGGCAGGGTGCAAGGGGCAAGGACAGGGTGGGCAGGTGGCATGAGCACATATCCCATGGAATGGGCCTTCCTTAGCAGTGGCCCAGAGGCCTTTGAAGCCAGCCCCTTCATTCAGGGGCAGTGTGGACCACGCCCCTGAAGGCTTCTCCAACTCTGGGGGTTGGCCTTCTAATCCTGAGAGTCCATTGGTCTGACCCAGGTCCGCATCGAGGAGGACGTCGTGGTGACGGACAGTGGCACAGAGCTGCTGACCTGTGTGCCCCGCACAGTGGAGGAAATCGAAGCATGCATGGCAGGCTCTGACAAGGCCTTTACTTCCTTCTCTGGCCCCAAGTAGAGCCAGCTGGGAGTGCCCAGTGGGCAGCCTGCTGACTGGCCATCCAGCAGCAAGAGATGGAGCTCAGAAATCACATGCCAGCACTGAAGTTTGATCGCACCAAATAGTGCTGTGTCCTAGGGGAAAACTTTCATTAACTTTCTACAGGATCACACCCTAATCTGTTAATACTTTGCTTAAATGACAGTGGCTTTTAAAATGCTAATTACAAAAAAATCCTCTTCTTTAATAGCCACTAAAATGTGTCTTGCTGTCATTTGTATTCTTATGCTCAGGAAAGATAGATTTCCAGTGTTTTTTCTCAAGAATCAATGCACAGAATGGAATTAGCAATTAAAGGTTTTCTAAAATAGTCTCTTGTGCACGTGTCCCTCTCTGCCCTTTACCCCTTTGCAGATGAGCCTGCACACTTAGACCTGACCAGAGACCCCAGGCTCAGGTCAGGAACACAGAGCTGTCCCACTCCACGCCTTTGCACACGCTCCAAGGTGAAAGGTAGAGTAAGAAGTCTTTTTGATACAATTCCTGCCTCAAAGCGGTTTCCGAAGTGGGCAGAATTATGGAGCACTTAACACAGTTATTTCTAACCTAAGACCTGCAGATTCCTCATCCTTGATTTCCTTCTCACACAGGACATGCTAGCAAAGCCAGCATCTGACAGGTGACAGCACCTAAGGCAGAGGTAGCACCATGCAAAGGGGAGCTTTCTCGTTCCTTCCATCTTTGCTGAAACCCTCCGTCCTCCCTAAGTGTAAGCCCACTGACCAAATGCTACTCTGAGGCTGTGAGCCATCCAGGGCCAGCTGGGCCCAGTCCCTGCCAGCGGCAGAGTCCCTGTCCTTACCTCTGAGTGCCCAGTTCTCCCATGGTCCCACGGAACTGCCCCACCCCCTGGAGCCGGCTTCTAGAATTCTGTGCACCACTCCAGCTTTGTCTCCTCAGAGCTGTCATCCAGGAGTTTCTAAGCCCAGTGCAGGACAAGTGAGAAAAGACATCAGCAATGAAACCATGATGCAGTGGGGAACTCTGTAGCCCAAGCTAGACATTTAGAGAAGTCACTGAAGAGTTTAATACAGATTGATTTCTTCCAATGGCAGTGACACAAAAGTGCCTGTGATGTGGCCAATCTCAGTTCCAAGAAACCATTTATCTTGTTTCTTAGATTTGTAACATCTAATCCTTGAGGTTTCCTGCTGGTGCAGATATAGCCAGAGTTATTTGTGACATTGAGGAGTTTAAGGGGTGATTGCCTTTCTGAGTGTCAGGAGTTTGAGTTTGCCCCGTATCTCTCTACCCCAGCTGTGCTTGTGAAAGACACATTCTGGTGTCTAGGATTTCAGTA